AAGCAACAATAAGAATTTAATGTTTAAGTTGTGGAAACTGCTAAAATAGAAAATGATGGGGTGTTGTTTTAGTGTGTATGCAAGAAAAAATAATCAAAGAATTCCCCCACTCTCCCATAAAATCTTTCAGAGCTTATAACTTTATAGATAATTAATCGTTGCAAATAATTAGGACATAATTTTGCAGCTTGACTTCAGGTGATATAATTATTAAAACTGTTCTGTAGTTTCTAAAAGCCTTTATCCGTGCTACTTAATTTTTTAAAGCAATTATATAATTGCTTTTCTTTATAGCCTTTTTAACTGTCATGATGACTGTATACATAAAACATTGCACTTAAACTCTGACATATAAGAGGGATAAACATAGCTTTGATTCACTTTGAAGTTATATCTCCTGTAGCTTCAAATTTTAAAACAGAAAATCAGTTCAACCATTGAGGTTAAAAACTGCATATGGAGTATTTACATGTCTTAAAAAGGAACCCCTTCCTCCACTGCTAACCTGCACTAGTTGCGTGCTGGAAAAGAGAAAAAATAGAGCTTACCATTTTTTACAATTTCCTGTTCCATAATCTATTCTGTTTGCCCAGTATCTTCATAATTAAACATCCATCTCATCTACACTTTCAAAATCTCTAGACATATTAAAACATGCATCCTCAAGAGCTACATCTTCTAAGCAATATAATAAAGACAATGACAATAGGGATACTGTGTCTTTTTATCAGCAGGATTAAAAAACACAATTAGAACATTATTCCCATTAGCACTTCTGTTAACTAAGTTCAGAAATTCCACAATATGTATATAAATGTCTTATGTACAACAATCATGAGCAAACACTTTCAGTTTTGAACTTAATCCAGTCTCTCCATGTTGAATTGGATCCATGAGTTGTCAGAACATTAATTTGCCTCCATTGCATACAGTACTTGGATGATTAGTCAAGACATAGCATAACTATTTCCAGAAACATCTGAAAAATACTTGAGTTAACGCTTCCACAGTAACCTTTTAAGTTTAAAATTTGGTGATGAAATATTTTGCATTTAATATCTAGTTTTTTTGCAAAGGAGAAATGAAACAAAGCAATAGACAGTCACAGGCCTTGAATTCACAGTTTGCACAAGTACCTTTCCTTCAGTTATAGTTTTGATGTCACCAAGATTTGGATTGATGAAATCATATGCTGTCAGTTGAATTACAGCAGTGTATTCACAGTGAAAAAGTTACAGAGACACGTTTTTTAAGAAGTCTGCAATTTGTGGATGCAACAAAAGATTTAATCTGTAACAAAGCTCTCACTATGAAAAACAGTCAATCCCTTACGCTATCGCCTATGATGCTTTTTCTGTGTGTTAAAAGGTTTCTTGTGAACACGTAATTTAAATTATCTTTAAGTAATATTTCACACTTCTAAAGCCAAGGCTGGCAAATACGATGCCACAAAGCAGGAAAGATTACATTAGGATCCACCGACACAAGAAATCAGAGTCCAGAGTAGCTAGTGGCTAACTATTCATTGTCTCTAGCAAAGCAATGATGTTCATTTAGAGGATGACACAAAAATTGTAATTTCCATACTATTTATTCCTCTACCCCCAACAACCTGTGAAGGCTGCACAGCAAGTTAAAGCTATGTATGTTCTTTCTCCTGTTAATATTTTATTTTGAAAGTGGAGAAAAACGTGTTTTTTCATGTGAAAAATACATTCCTTGTTCCTTCCATATTCAAATGAAATTCTATTAGTGGTGGTGTCCTCAGGCTTTAAAAAGAAAAACAAACAAACAAACCTTGGACTTTGGAAAGCTTAATCTCTAATCATGAATAGATTGGTAATTGTGGAATAGAACCTCAAAATTTCTCTTGTGCAGGTATTAATTCGCATAATATACCTAGATTACATTAAATACAGATCACAGGAGTGAACTACCTTGAATTTAAGGGGACTATTATTTCACAACACATATATATTCATTGCAAGTTTTGTAATAGAATAAGTTGAATATGTTGACAATAGAAATGGAAATGCATATATTTACTGCTTTTATTTTTCCCCTCTTCCTCCTCTTCTTTCCCCAGTTTCTGTCCTTCTTTCATTACTTGCAAAATACAGCTTTGCATGTTATATCGGTCTGTATTTAAACATTGCTGTATACTTTTTTACAGGTTTCTTTGCTCTTACAATTCATTAACAGCATGAGCTTATCAGATTGTAAGTCATGACCAGATGAAGCATGTTATAAAACCAGAAGGTATTTTTTCCTCTTAAAAAGTGATTTTTCCCTACTGGATATATTTACAAAAAATATCTTCAGGTCTGAGAATTAAAATGTATCATGACTTGGATGAGAATACTTGAATAAAACCAAAATCCCTAGAACCCCATCATATGGGGCAATTAGAGTCTCCCTATCACTGTAAGTAACTGAATCTTGTAATACTACCATTGTGGAAATGGGAACAAGAAGAAAAACCAATAAGCCCTTAAACGTACAGGAATATCTAACTTTCAAAAATTATATAAATAAAAGCAGTAATACTATTTTGAATTCATATTCCTTGGAGGAAAAATGTATTTTTAAAAATATATTCACATCATAAAAATGATTATATTGTAAAATTGAAGAACAATGATATATAATTGAAATACTAAATTAACTGCTCTTAATTTTGTCTTCCATGATGGATTAGTGACTCTGCATTACAAAAAAAACCCAAACAAACAAACAAAACAAAACAAAACAAAAAAAACACACTAAAGAAAACACACAAAAGAAACCCCAAACCAAAACAACAACAAAATAAAATCCTTCATATATCTTTTTCAGTGTCTTTTTAATTTAAGGCAATTAGTGATTTCTTCCACAATCATTTCAAGTACAAGTATTTGTATAATATTTGTATAGAATAAGTATTTATATTTATAAGCATATGTATTTATATCTCATAAATAAGAGCAAACAATCTTTTTCATAACTTGTAAGTAAGTATAAAATTACATTCAAATTCTCTTTATGTTTTTCTAGAAATTTGGGATAATAACAGCTATAGCGTAATTATGCACCATGTAAAACCAACCTGAAAATTCTGCATTTTCAAAAGTAATTATAAAAGAAGAGTATGAAAAGGATTATTTTTAAAAATCAGTTTATAAAGACTTGTCTTCACAATTATTTCTATTTCTCTGAAGACTTACTCTTTAAAAAACTGTATTACCTAGGATTAAGGATAATATGTAAAGGTGGAGTTTCTTACCTCAGTAAATAGTATAAACATTTTGAAAAGTAACAATCTTTGCAATTCTCATGTGCGTACAAGTATTTCTAAGTGTTATAAAGGTATATGTGCAACAGCTACCCTATGTTGTGCTTATCTATTTCCATGGTTGGAAATATCAGATTAATTTGCGTTCAAATTTCCTGATTCACAAGCATATTTAAGTCATTAAAATACATTTTAAAAAATGAAGATGTTGATTTAACTATTTTCATAATTTTAAACAGTTAAAATGTGCATTTTTAAAGGCCAGAATAATCACTGATCTGTTTTGATCAGAGTAACTTTAAAATAATTCTATTTACTGTTTGCCTTTTCTGATGTAACTGTTCATTTCCTTGTTTCCTGATTCATGCAAAACAAAAAGGAAAAATAAAAGCATTTCTAGCAAATGTCTTAATCTGGTCAAAGTAAGCCTCTATGTCTTTGTTCCATAGAAGCTTTATTAGTTTCCTGGGCTCCATAGCAGGATAAACTATTTCATGCATGAAGGGATCAGCATTCCTTCTTCTAATCATTGCTATTGTACCCATTACAAAGCTTTCTGAACATCTCCTATGGATATCACACACTATCTTAATCACCCCTCAATTAATAGTTTCATACTCATATTTTAGTTCTGCTACTTCTACATACAATAACTGCTACTTCAGAATGATACCAAAGCCATAACAGAATATTCGGACTTTATAGTAATTTCACCACCATTGATACATTCTTACACTGAAAGAGTCCAAACAGCAGTTTCCACTGAATAACAGCTTAATACAACTGGTAATCCTCTCCTAGTACCATGACAGATATTCATGCCCATGTCTCTTGTGACTAGCCTGTAACTTCGAGAAGCACAAGCCATTTTCTGAGGTGCTTTGATAAGTAAAGAGGTAGCCATAACTATTTACATTAAAAATATGGGAAATCTCTGCTAGAATAAGCTTTAATACTATAAAGTTCTTTATACTCTGGGTTTTGCTGGTGCACTGCATTACATTCTTCTGAAAGTAATATAGGTGGTCTCAAAGAGAAAAGAAAGAAGTCAGCAATTTTCACTTTAATATACTAACGTTTGAAGTCATTTGCCAAATCATCTTACCTTTTTCCTCAGGTAGAAGGCATGTGTGACTTCCTATCCACTCTTAGAAGATGGTGGGGGTAAATGTTAATGACATACATCTTTCTGATTGTTCTTACAGAGGAAATCAGAAGTAAGCTCACCTGAATTAGTATTCTGTTTATATTCAAAAGAGATTCTTAGTGGTTGAAAGGCATGGTGTGACTAAATTCTTTCACAAGACATTTTCAGCTAAATCAGTAATATAATATTAAATTATGCAGTCTAGGGACCTGGTGGGAGACTTTCAAAATTAACATGCAATTCTGGTTTGACAAACAGCAACATCCACTGTTTTACATATGTAAAATCAGAAATCCAAGAGATGTCTGCTATGCATTCCTCCTCCTTATAGGTGCATAAATCAGTATTTAGCTCATACAACTTGCAAATGCTTAGCAGTTTTCCAGTATATGTAATGTACATAAACAGACAGGCTCTCTACCCTTAACTACTTTCTATGGACCACTAAAAAGCAGACCAAGCACAGATGAAAAACATAGGCTAAGATTACAGACAATAACATAATGCATCTACAACTGTAAGGCTTGTCTGTAATAAGCATTTTAATAAATTAAGGATAAATAAAGACCATTTAAAGTGTTATGGAAAAATGGACAAAAAAAGCAGAAAATAAAGATGTGATTATTGAGATCTGAATAGCGTACTGCAAAATATTTAGTGAAAAAACAGGCGATCCCTAGTTTCTGGTAGTTGCAGTTTTGAAGAAAACTTGAAAATGCATAGAAAGCATCACTAACGGGAAGATCTATGCATCTCATCAGCTGCAGAGAGGTACTTTTCTAATAATTGAAAGAGGACTTGTAAGGCACAAGAAGTACACTTTTTCAGGAGACGAAGGGCTTGTACAAAGACTGGAATGTAGGCCAGTAAACAAAGGACTTGAGAAAGAAAAGATTGCTTACACAGCCCCAAAAATAACTGCTTTTGGAAAATAGGGACAAATGTAAAAGAAGGCAACATAGGAGAAACAAAAAGCATAAAAAGAATTATTACAATGCCACAATATTTTTCACAGACATACCAGACTGCAGAATAGGAGTCCTGATTTTAAATTGGTATAGTTTTAAACTAGAAAGGATTTTGATTTTAGGATAGCACTACAGTTTTAAGTTATATAGCCAATGTTAGTAAGTTGTAAGAATACAGATTTTGCAAGGGTTAATACCATGGATGGTCACTCCATGGCAAAAAAGAAAACACTATTCAGGCATCTTTTAGGAGTGGAATAATAAATAAAAAAAAACCTTTTAGTAAGTATGGCTTACATAGTTTATTAAAAGGTATCATGTAAAGTCATGTAAAACATTATAGAGAAAGGAAATCCTAAAATCATCACAGGTGACTACAGATTCAAGGATTTATTATTCTGACGATAGTAAATACAAATACAGAAGTTATTTTTGTCATGTGGTTTGTCTTAATCAAGAACTAAAAATTTACTCATAACACTGCACACAAATGCGATGTTTATATCAATATCATATGCAGCTTGAATGAAAAAGTATACATTAAAATTGAGAACAGCAATTCATATAATGGTCAAAGACAACCGGTAACAAAACCACCAAATTCCAGTTGTCAAACATAATTTACTATGTATATTTCTTCTCTTCTTTGTTAAAACGGTAATTATTAAACTAAAGTGATATGGGTGAGTGTTTATGACTTCTTATTAAAAACCCCGACTTAAAGCAGTGTTCATTTAAGCTTAAGGTTAAAGAAAATCATGTAGAGATCTCTGTGCGATGGCCTACTGACTTTATATCCTCTTGTCAAACCTCAGCAGTTTTATTTGTAGTGATACATGCCGGGGAAGGTTGGAGGTTAAAGTTGATAGGAGGGCCAACAGGAAAGCCAACCAACTTCTTTCAAAAGATTACAACCTTTAACATATTAGGATCTGTCAGCAGTTACTGCTAACTTGGTATGTCTACATTTGTGTACTCTTCTGTGAACTGATCCCCAAACTCCAGATCAGCAGAATCAAGAAACCTGATCCTTACTACTTTCCTTCAATCATTCCTCCCTAATTTTTTTCCTTTTCAAGCTATAATTTCAGTTTTTGATACTATATTGAAGATTAGCACTTATCATTAGTTTTCAGAAAAACATTAACAGCTAGGTAAAATTTCTTTCCTGGACTTCTTCAGCCTAATTTTCTCTCTCACCCTGAGAATTGAAGGAAGGATTTTCTAGCCTAGGAAATCATATATTAAATGCAATAGCAGCAAAGTCTACTGGACTGAAGCTCTTCAGATTTCCCTTTCTTCAACTTACTTTGACACTGCTTCCTCTGTGACTCATTTTAAAGTTATACAGATAACGATAAATGAAATCATACAGAATCACCGCATAGCTGAGGTTAAAAGGGACCTCTGGAGAGTGTCTCGTCCTATTCAAAGCTCAGTGAACTACAGCAGCTTGCTCAGGGCTTTGTCCAGCCATGTTATGAGAGTCTTCAAGGACAAAGACTTTACAGTCTGAACTCTCTGAACAACCTGTTCCAGTGTTTGACGGCTCTCACAGGATGATTAAATAGAATTTCCTGTATATTATATTATTTGATCTGTTACAGGACACCACTAGGAAGAGTCTGATTCCATGTTTTTTATTCCCTCTCTGCAGCTATTTATACACATTGATAAGATTCCCTTGCTCTTCTTGCCTACACAGTGCAAACTCTCTCAGACTCTCCTCCAACAACAGATGTTCCCATCTATTCATCATATTTGAGGCCCCTCACTGGACTCACTGCAAGTTAGTGTCTTGGATTGTGGATTTTATGCTGTAACTTATCATTTAATGTAAAGGAGTATACTATTACACAGGTCTCATTTTTATTGATGGCAGCTTTACTCTTATTTGCTCTTAGGACAGGGGAAGTTTCTTTCAATGACTTCAGACAGAGCAAGACCTCTACTAGATTGATTCTGTGTAAAAGGTGATAATGTATTTTTACTGTATTTGTCCCATGACAGCCACAAGAATATTGCAATATAAAATGAATAATCTTTTCTAGTTATCTGTAACCAGTTTACAATTAATGTAACTCTTCAGCTTTGCATTTTAAAATAAATAACAACTCTAGAAATTCTACACAAAGTATTATTTTCCCACTTCTGCTAAATGCAAATCTAAATCTCTTTGAAAATCCAGAGAAGTACATTTGGCAAAAGCAAAGATTCTGTGTTTTACATCACATACCATTTTGCCGTTGCTACAATTTTAATTGTGCAAAACTCAATGGCTCTAATAAAATCTGGCTAGGTAATTAATACTCTAAAACATACACTGTGAGATACTGAAAGAAACACTCTACATGTGAATTCCCTCATGTCATGGAAAAGACTCATGTAGCATGTATTTCTCCATAGGTACAACATCAGCTTTTTTTCATCTTGTCTGCAATTAACAAAAAAATCTTAATACATTCCATTGTTAAGAAGTTTTGTTTTCTACTAGTTTCAGTTCAAATACACTCACAACATCACATATTGTGTATGAGGAAAATCAGTGAAAGTAAAATAGAAAAGATATAAGAAATATTAATGTCAGAAATAAAGAACAACTTTAAACTTTTATGATATTGGTATGCTCCAAAATGGCTGTGATGACTTCACAGAATTATGTACGTAAATATAATATTTTAATTACCATTATGCAATTCAGACATATATATGTATGCTCAGATACACATATATATACATTTTGAGATAGGCTCCACATTGTGATCCACATTTCCCAGAGATGTGCACATGAAGGGGATTCTCCCACTGTGCCCATTACACACCTAATTTGGTGAACTGTTCAAAACAGGGAGAGGGACAGAGGCTTGTGGAAATTAAGCTTTATTTAAAATAAATCAACAGACAAAGGTATTAATATTCAGAGCTCCACACAATGATTTTACAGGGAAGGGCCCAGAAAGTAGGCCACTAAGGACAGTGTGGTGTGCATTTAGAAATGGAAAACTTTTCCACAGTAGTGGAACACAGGCTGTTCTCTCTGAACTTGTTCCCCTGGACATTTTGCAGAACGATTTAAGAAGTAGTTTGACATGATTTGTATTTTTCCTAGAAACCTATCATTTATCTTCATAATACGGGACAAAAAACATTTGGAACTTTATGTTATTTTCATAACGTTGTATGCCAAAGAACAGGCAGTACTCCTGGCTTCTTTTTTTGCTTCCTTGACACACTATAAACAGTGATAAGAAAATGAAGGTTAGAAGAATATCTGTGCTTAGGTTTACACTTCTGCTACAGAAAGATAGATTTTTCATAAAAGAGATTCTTCATAAAATAGATAGATTTTTCATGAAAGATTTTCATGAAAGAATACTCTTTTATGTATGAATGGATACAATCATATCTCTAGTATCGTTTACCCTGAGTTTTAAGAAAACACTTTTTCAGTTTGATGTACTAAGTACTGGGCATATATGCAAGGATCTAAGGTTTGTTTGCAGGAATTCAGATTGAGCCTTCAGTCCTGTGATAATGCATTTGCACATTTCTCTCATGAATGTTGCATTTTGTAGTGGTAGTGGATGTATACTGATGATGAAAATCCCTTTAAAAAAGGAATTAATACAAGATTATCGTCAGTAAGGAGAATTTTTTAAAGTCATGAATCTTGACTTTTAACAACAGAAAAAACATTTTGAAAATAACTTCCTTGAAAATAAGATAAAAATTATTGTGCTAAAAATAATATACTGTACTGTAGTCATTTGTACTCAATGAGAGCTTAGTGTGTTTACCAAAGTTTACAGAAATCACTATTGAAAATCAGTCATCTCTGTATGACACATGACAACTCTAATAGAAAACAAAGTCATAAAAGTCCATTTATACAAAGGCTGGTGAGCAGAGTACAGTCCACTAGTACAAAAGGAAAAGCAACCAGACTCAAAATTTTGTCTCGAGCTTCTTCTATTGCTATCCAATAGTAGTGATTGAAAATGTAATGATTCTGCAGGAATAATGAGCTGCAGGTTGAAGAATATTAGATTATACTTGCTAAAGAAACATTATCACACCTAGTAGTGCTGCGACATGATGAGGGGTGAGTGAGAAAAAAAGGCCACGACCAGGTAAAAACTGAAGACATTTTAGTGACAGCATAATGTGAGACACTTCTTTCCCAAAAACTGCACACCATATTAAAAAAAAATTGACAAACTGAATTGTGCAGGTTCTCAGTAATGCTCTCATAGCTGGAGTTTGGAGTCCTCAAGTCTCAGAAAGCTTAGCAAAAAGATGGTGGGGCATTTTATGCAGAACAATTCCACATATCAATGTGTTTTCCAGTGTTCTTCTCATAAGGTCATCACCCACTGTATGATACAGAGGCTGTGCTATTCATTTATGTTCCATCTCAAGGTATATATTCTAAGGCAGCACTTAAAGGTAGCACTTCCTCCTTCTGCAAGTTCATGTATGCAAGCAGAAAATAAATTTCACTTTTTTAAAAAGACAAATCTCCAGCTCCAAGAAAAGGAATGAATTTCCGTCTCTATGATTTGGTAGTCAGTGACAAAGTCAACACTGATTTGAATTAAAGAGGCAAACAGTTTTCCAGAAGATACTGAAGAATATTGTAGTTATGTTCTTGTTACAAACATATTTCATAATGTTCTTGGGTCAGCAATTACAACTATAAAACTGATTGTTTTAGTATTTCCTGAACAAACACTTTAGTGAAGTTGTCTAATAATCTACTATGCAAAGGCAAGTTGCATGCAGACTCATTTCATACTTGGCTATGAAAAACTAATTGATCAATGCTCTTGATGTATGTGCAGCAGGGTGGGAGAAAACAACTTACAAAAATCTTCTCAGGAAAGCACAAGGCTAAGCAGGGGAGCAAAAGTAGTCAAAATATACAGCCAAGCTGTTGATAAGCCATTATTACACATAACTCAAGTTGCCTTTAGTTTGCCAGTAGTGGTATAATTCAATAGCACAGAACAAATGCTAACTAATCCTATCAACATACCCCACAAACAAGAACACCAATGACAAGTGGAATGAGAAGAAAACAAAACAAAAAAGAAATTAGAAATATACTCTGAAACATATTATCATATTATATAACAGACAATTTTGACTAATGGGTTATTTATATTATTCTGTGGGTAACTGATAAATGCAGTTTTACATGAAGAAGCCATTCACCTTTTCAAAAACAACAAAAAATGAAAAAACAAAACAGACGAAACAGACGAAACAAAAAATCTTTTTTAAAAGCAAAGCGAAACAAACAACAACAAAATCACAACAAAAAAATCCAAGCAACAGAAGAAAAGGCAAAATCACTCATTTAAGAGAACCTGAAATATGCTTTAATATGGTAGTAAGTTAAAAGCTAAAGGACATATATCTATACACACAAAAAGATGCTATCACTGCTGTTAGGAAAGCAGAATATTTTCACAGCTATTTTTCTTCATGCTTGGAAGCATACATTACTCATAACACAGTTACATCCTGAAATTTTATAACATTTTGAATTTCTTTCAGATGAGACGTCCATTTTATTGTTTTTTAATTAAATGTATTTCCCTGAAAGGTCTTTGAAGGGTCTACAAACTACCTTGCATTTTATTATTGCTGACAGTTATCTAAACCACGCTTGAATGCCCTCTTTATCCTTTAGTGAACAATTGAAAGATCATATGCTAAAAAGACTTGTGCTTTCTCTTCTTCTAGCCCTATAATTAAGGCATTTTAATACATTTCTTCATAGTCATTAAGAGAGCACAATGTTAAAAATTAATGCAATGAGACAATTTTAACAACCATAAATACATACATAAATTTGTCTCAATTGTAGATATGAGAAAAGTCTTATTGAAATCACATGATGAGACTAGAATTGTCAAGATTTTGCTTTTGCTGTCTAAGGGTATTTAAGTGATGTATGGCAACCTGACAGTACTATAGTGTTGTTACATACCCTACAAGAGAGGTAAACATTTCCGTCAAACAATCAGATTTCACTGTTTATGTTTTTGTTTACCATATATATATGCCTATAAAAAAGTAGTATTGCTGGATGGCGCTGAAATAGATGAAAAAAGGGAAGAAAAGAAGTAAGACAGAGATATGAAAGGAAAAATAATCACAAGATGATTGTAAAAATCTTGATATATAATGTAAAATACCACTGTAATAGCATCCATTTACAGTAGTACTTATGCTTAGAATAAAGATTTTCTTAGGATTTTTTTCTAAGAAACAGAATTTTGTTATGTTCACGTGTCACACATTTTTGCAACAGACATGTTAAGTATTGTTTTAACATTGTGAAAGGAATTTATTCTTTCTAAGTACACCAATTTTATATACACCAATTAAATATAGGATGTATTGGTGTTATAGCTTACCATTACAGAGATTTTCCAAAAGGTATTACTAATGAGCAAATCATACACTCATCTTTTAAAACTAAGTCAGGCTTTTTGAGGTAGAAGTTTTTTATGCTTTCTTAACTACATGTTTAAAATCACAGTGCAGCATAAAGCAAGAAGATTACAGGATTATTTTTTTTTAAGATCAACATGAAAAAAAAAGTTGCTCTCCAGAAGATCTTCCAGAGTTGTCAGAATGTTATATTATAAACAACCTTATTAGTCCTTTATAATTACAATAGGTACCTCTGGACAAGATCGAGCACACATGACAAATGCTTCTGACTTCTTTTTAAATCGAACCTGGAAGGTCATCTCTGAACAAACAGAATGCTCTACAACTGTGCCCATAAATTGTGAAAGCTAACAATAAGGTAAGGTTTTTTGATATTAAAAATTAAAATTATTTTGTTCAGAATTCTCTGTATAAAATCAAGAACTAAGAGGATTAAGTAGTTTAAAAAAGATAAGCTACTAACGAAAAAGAAATCCTTCAAACTTTATTACCACAATTTTTCTTTCTGCAGCTGAATATATTTTAATATTTATGCCATATCTTTAAAGTAATTGCTTTGTTTTATAAGTATTCTTAAAGATAATTTCTTAATGAGAGTTTATCCATATTTGCATTTATTTTGCTTAGCTTTATGATGTGGACAGTTAAAAAAAGAAACAGCCTTAAATCTAAGGGACTTGCTAGTTGTTATCCTCAAATGAAATCAGGAAAAGTACAACATATTACTGTGCATTTCTCCGACCATTTTTATTTTGCTTTAGGGTCATTTAACAGTACTGGTAGTTTTGGATTAAATTTAATTTGTATGGAGTTAAACAGTAACTTAAGTGACTGCAAGTGGAAACCAACTGATGGATCTCACTTTTAAATCTCGGATTTCAATTTGGAGAGGAAATGTACGGATTGAATTAAAAAGCTGTAAACTCTTGATGAGAATTAGTGGTATAAAACAAAAGAAATTGAAACCTTCAGTTATTTTCCTTACAGTTAGGCTGAATTACATTGTAAATCAACAAAGATTTGGATAGTGTCCAAGTAAACAGCTTTAACTTAAGAAAAGTTCTAATAGAGCACTGAGCATACAGTTTGAAACAAATACAAAATAAATATGAAATATTAATGACTTTAAAAAGAAACATATGAGAAGAACGACAGTAAAATCAGGAAAATTCAAGCAGAGGAAATTTAAAATGAAATGTATGATGGGCAATTAAGTACCTATTGTGACAATTCTAAGTGGTCAAGTTTTTAAAGTATGACACAGAAACCTTAACCTATCTATATATGAGTGATAAATGAGGCATTTTGTGTCATTACATTCCCATAAATCACATTTTTAAACTGCTGATGGCTTTTATCAGGTCTAACCTTTTCAAGCTTCTATCAGAGTGCTAACATTTTCAACTTTGACACATACGCAGTTTACAAATTCTGCAGCTGATTAACTCTGGACAGAAGCTCACTGCCACTGTTGTCTTCTTCAAGCTGGGTTACAGTTTCAGTGCCTCAAAAACCCATATGCACCCTTTGCATGTCACAAAATCTCACTTAAGGTATTGAGCTGTGTTGTGAAGGATATATTTCTTCTTTTGAAACAAATAAACGAGAACGTACTTTCAAAATTACTCTTCTACTCAGCCTGAAATATGCATCCTATTAATCATTTTAGAATCAAATAACTAGTGCATTCCAGATAAAGAGAAATATTTAGAAGTCAGACATTGGTAAAATAAAATGATCTATTTTATATTATTTTATTATTTAAAT